CACGCCAAGGGGAACCGGAAACCGGGCGGGACGCAGACTGGACGGAACGGAAGCTCTGTGTCTGATGGAACGCATGCTGGAACGCAAACCCCGGAAATGTGATGTAAAGAGGAGGTGAGTCACTGGGAGCCATAGCGCACGGAGTAACAATCCGTACTGACTGTCTGGGACTACATTTCCCATCACTGGGAGCCATAGCGCACGGAGTAACAATCCGCACTGACTGTCTGGGACTACATTTCCCATCACTGGGAGCCACAGCACCTGGAGTAACAATCCGCACTGACTGTCTGGGACTACATTTCCCATCACTGGGAGCCATAGCACCTGGGGTATCAATCCGCACTGACTGTCTGGGACTACATTTCCCATCACTGGGAGCCACAGCGCACGGAGTAACAATCCGCACTGACTGTCTGGGACTACATTTCCCATCACTGGGAGCCACAGCACCTGGAGTAACAATCCGCACTGACTGTCTGGGACTACATTTCCCATCACTGGGAGCCATAGCACATGGAGTAACAATCCGCACTGACTGTCTGGGACTACATTTCCCATCACTGGGAGCCATAGCACCTGGAGTATCAATCCGCACTGACTGTCTGGGACTACATTTCCCATCACTGAGAGCCACAGCGCACGGAGTATCAATCCGCACTGACTGTCTGAGACTACATTTCCCATCACTGAGAGCCACAGCGCACGGAGTATCAATCCGCACTGACTGACTGGGACTACATTTCCCATCACTGAGAGCCATAGCGCACGGAGTATCAATCCGCACTGACTGACTGGGACTACATTTCCCATCACTGGGAGCCATAGCGCACGGAGTAACAATCCGCACTGACTGTCTGGGACTACATTTCCCATCACTGGGAGCCATAGCGCACGGAGTAACAATCCGCACTGACTGACTGGGACTACATTTCCCATCACTGGGAGCCATAGCGCATGGAGTAACAATCCGCACTGACTGACTGGAACTACATTTCCCATCACTGGGAGCCATAGCACCTGGAGTAACAATCCGCACTGACTGTCTGGGACTACATTTCCCATCACTGGGAGCCATAGCGCACGGAGTATCAATCCGCACTGACTGTCTGGGACTACATTTCCCATCACTGGGAGCCACAGCACCTGGAGTATCAATCCGCACTGACTGACTGGGACTACATTTCCCATCACTGGGAGCCATAGTGCACGGAGTATCAATCCGCACTGACTGGGACTACATTTCCCATCACTGGCAGCCACAGCGCACGGAGTAACAATCCGCACTGACTGTCTGGGACTACATTTCCCATCACTGGGAGCCATAGCGCACGGAGTAACAATCCGCACTGACTGTCTGGGACTACATTTCCCATCACTGGGAGCCATAGCGCATGGAGTAACAATCCGCACTGACTGTCTGGGACTACATTTCCCATCACTGGGAGCCACAGCGCATGGAGTAACAATCCGCACTGACTGACTGGGACTACATTTCCCATCACTGGCAGCCACAGCACCTGGAGTAACAATCCGCACTGACTGTCTGGGACTACATTTCCCATCACTGGGAGCCATAGCGCACGGAGTAACAATCCGCACTGACTGTCTGGGACTACATTTCCCATCACTGGGAGCCATAGCGCACGGAGTAACAATCCGCACTGACTGTCTGGGACTACATTTCCCATCACTGGGAGCCATAGCGCACCGAGTAACAATCCGCACTGACTGTCTGGGACTACATTTCCGATCACTGGGAGCCATAGCGCACGGAGTAACAATCCGCACTGACTGTCTGGGACTACATTTCTCATCACTGGGAGCCATAGCGCATGGAGTAACAATCCGCACTGACTGTCTGGGACTACATTTCCCATCACTGGGAGCCATAGCGCACGGAGTAACAATCCGCACTGACTGTCTGGGACTACATTTCCCATCACTGGGAGCCATAGCACCTGGAGTAACAATCCGCACTGACTGTCTGGGACTACATTTCCCATCACTGGGAGCCATAGCGCACGGAGTAACAATCCGCACTGACTGCGCATGGAGTAACAATCCGCACTGACTGACTGGGACTACATTTCCCATCACTGGCAGCCACAGCACCTGGAGTAACAATCCGCACTGACTGACTGGGACTACATTTCCCATCACTGGGAGCCATAGCGCACGGAGTAACAATCCGCACTGACTGTCTGGGAGTACATTTCCCATCACTGGGAGCCATAGCGCACGGAGTAACAATCCGCACTGACTGTCTGGGACTACATTTCCCATCACTGGGAGCCATAGCACCTGGAGTATCAATCCGCACTGACTGTCTGGGACTACATTTCCCATCACTGGGAGCCATAGCGCATGGAGTAACAATCCGCACTGACTGTCTGGGACTACATTTCCCATCACTGAGAGCCATAGCACATGGAGTAACAATCCGCACTGACTGGGACTACATTTCCCATCACTGGGAGCCATAGCGCGCGGGTAACAATCCGCGCTGACTGTCTGGGACTACATTTCCCATCACTGGGAGCCATGGCGCCGCGGGTAACAATCCGCACTGACTGTCTGGGGCTACATTTCCCATCACTGGGAGCCACAGCACCTGGGTAACAATCCGCGACTGGGACTACATTTCCCATCACTGGGAGCCACAGCACCTGGGAGTAACAATCCGCACTGACTGACTGGGACTACATTTCCCATCACTGGGAGCCATAAGCGCCGCGGGTAACAATCGCACTGACTGTCGGGACTACATTTCCCCATCACTGGGAACCATAAGCGCCGCAGGTATCAATCCGCACTATCTGGGACTACATTTCCCATCGCACAGAACCTGGCGCAGGTAACAATCCGCACTGACTGTCTGGGACTACATTTCCCATCACTGGGAGCCACAGCACCTGGAGTATCAATCCGCACTGACTGGGACTACATTTCCCATCACTGGGAGCCATAGCGCACGGAGTAACAATCCGCACTGACTGTCTGTGACTACATTTCCCATCACTGGGAGCCATAGCGCTTGGAGTAACAATCCGCACTGACTGTCTGGGACTACATTTCCCATCACTGGGAGCCATAGCACCTGGAGTATCAATCCGCACTGACTGTCTGGGACTACATTTCCCATCACTAGGAGCCATAGCGCACGGAGTAACAATCCGCACTGACTGTCTGGGACTACATTTCCCATCACTGGGAGCCATAGCGCACGGAGTAACAATCGCTGACTGTCTGTGACTACGTTTTCCCATCACTGGGAGCCATAAGCGCCGCGGGTAACAATCCGCACTGACTGTCTGGGACTACATTTCCCATCACTGGGAGCCATAGCGCACGGAGTAACAATCCGCACTGACTGTCTGGGGCTACATTTCCCATCACTGGGAGCCACAGCACCTGGAGTAACAATCCGCACTGACTGACTGGGACTACATTTCCCATCACTGGGAGCCACAGCACCTGGAGTAACAATCCGCACTGACTGTCTGGGACTACATTTCCCATCACTGGGAGCCACAGCACCTGGAGTATCACTGACTGTCTGGGACTACATTTCCCATCACTGGGAGCCACTGGAGTATCAATCCGCACTGACTGGGACTACATTTCCCATCACTGGGAGCCATAGCGCACGGAGTAACAATCCGCACTGACTGTCTGTGACTACATTTCCCATCACTGGGAGCCATAGCGCTTGGAGTAACAATCCGCACTGACTGTCTGGGACTACATTTCCCATCACTGGGAGCCACAGCGCACGGAGTAACAATCCGCACTGACTGTCTGGGACTACATTTCCCATCACTGGGAGCCATAGTGCACGGAGTAGCAATCCACACTGACTGTCTGGGACTACATTTCCCATCACTGGGAGCCATAGCGCACGGAGTAACAATCCGCACTGACTGTCTGGGACTACATTTCCCATCACTGGGAGCCATAGCGCACCGGAGTAACAATCCGCACTGACTGTCTGGGACTACATTTCCCATCACTGGGAGCCATAGCGCACGGAGTAACAATCCGCACTGACTGTCTGGGACTACATTTCCCATCACTGGGAGCCATAGCGCATGGAGTATCAATCCGCACTGACTGTCTGGGACTACATTTCCCATCACTGGGAGCCATAGCGCACGGAGTAACAATCCGCACTGACTGTCTGGGACTACATTTCCGATCACTGGGAGCCATAGCGCACGGAGTAACAATCCGCACTGACTGTCTGGGACTACATTTCCCATCACTGGGAGCCATAGCACATGGAGTAACAATCCGCACTGACTGACTGGGACTACATTTCCCATCACTGGGAGCCATAGCGCACGGAGTAACAATCCGCACTGACTGTCTGGGACTACATTTCCCATCACTGGGAGCCATAGCGCACGGAGTAACAATCCGCACTGACTGTCTGGGACTACATTTCCCATCACTGGGAGCCATAGCGCACGGAGTAACAATCCGCACTGACTGTCTGGGACTACATTTCCCATCACTGGGAGCCATAGCACATGGAGTAATGGCTGCCACCTACTAACAATCCGCACTGACTGTCTGGGACTACATTTCCCATTACTGGGAGCCATAGCGCATGGAGTAACAATCCGCACTGACTGTCCGGGACTACATTTCCCATCACTGGGAGCCATAGCACATGGAGTAATGGCTGCCATCCACTAACAATCCACACTGACTGTCTGGGACTACATTTCCCATCATGCTCTCACACTGTCACTGCGGCTAATCCATGCTTTAATGTATTGTATTCACTTCATTTCAGGCGCTGATGTAGCAGTTGGAGAGGCGCAGACGGACATACGGCCACGGAGGACGTCACCGTTAGGTATTGGAAGAATTGCCTTCTGGAAAACTAATTGACCCTGTAATCCCAGGAGTATGCTGCCTGTCAATCATTAGTAGTATATAACGGAGTGCTAATGATAGGTATAGAGCCCTGTAACACACAGACAGGCAGCCAGTCACCCTGGTAACCAATAGTAAGAGGGGATCTGCAATATTCTCCATCACCTTTACATTCATGTATTATAATACACAGCGCGTTCCCGGATACTGCGCGTAGCATTGTGCAAGTGAAATGATGCCGCAGCTTCCCCTAAGGAAACCATATTTGTTTGGGATGAATTAAATGAAGTTACTTCTGTGCACTCAAGTTTAACTATAGTTCCGAGTCACTTCTGAACTTGTTTTTCTTTTTCCTTCTTACATCATGTGTTCATTGAATGAACCGGATGTCAGAAGACAAGTGTGATGCTAACCATGCGTATATCAGAAGAGTGCAGATATTCCTAATGCTTCCTGTATGGCGGTAGGGATCCATTGTTTGTTAAGGTGCTATATTCTATAATGCAGCTTATATGCAAGGATATGTCCACACACACAAAAAAAAAATATAATCACCCACACCTAAAAGTAATAGGGCAATGAATAAACACTTATCTCTATAGATAGCTGAAACCGCTGGATTTCCCAGGAAGTATCCCTTTTAAATACCATGTAGACGCAAAACAAAAATGGAGAATCTAAAACATTAATATAAAAAATAAATAGTAGTGTAACACTGTTAAACAATATATAAATGCACTGTTACAGGTATTTTGCCCAAGGGTGCTTCCTCCGATGAAATTGGGGGGCTAAATCAGCTCTTCTTTCTTTTAATGATTATGAAACTGGACTCATGATTGCTGGATGTACAGATTCTGCTTTATTTTAAAAGGTATTTTAAAAAAAACACTGAAAAGTGGTGCTGTATCAGGTCTTACGCATTTTGTCCAAATAGGACTTCCTCAGGGACCTCCTGGTAGTTTAAGCCACCAAAATGGAATACAAACAGGAAATAAGCAGTATTGCCCCCCCTCCCTGAGTCTCTCTTTTATATGGGCGTCTTCTGATGACGCGTGCGTTCCATCTATAGCTTATAAACGGAGTGTTACTTATGGAAGCCTGTAAGGCTCACATCACATGACTCAAAAACAGAATAATCTTAAACTGTAACAGACAGAGATCGTAAGGACAAATATGTACCTCTTAAAATAAAGCAGAGTCTGTACCTCCATCTGTGCAAGGATAGTTTGCTGGTGA